AACAAAGGGAAAGAAGATAACTTCAGAAGTACAAAAACGAAAGAAATTTTAACTGTATTGCCCACCATTTACAATACCAATCACAAAATTGGGTTGAGAAAAAAGTTTTCATTTTTTTGTGATGTACGGTGACCGTTAATAATTAAATATAACTCAAGACTTCAATGTTAAGATAAAACAGTATTTAATTACAACCGTAAATAAATACTTAACAAGAACAAGGAAGTAAAAGTCAACCAAAGATAATCAACCATTTCAGTGAATATCTTGTTAGTAGCGCGACTCGGCTTAATGTCCAGTAAATCTTAAATCAAATCCCAAATCATCAACGTACACACTAATTCGACTGGATAGTTCCACTCAATTGTCACTCAACAATCACTGCAGTCAGTAGCCTGACAACGCTATTTATACACTTGGCGGAAAACATATATTCATAAGTCCAGAGTATCACGCTCGAACCTCGATGTCGGTAGTTACTCATTTTCTTCCTATGATACATTTGAAGCGTCATAAAAAAAAGTAGTCAAAATGGCTGCAACTAACTGTTCATTGCCTTGGATATATCCTAGGCCTTTGGCAAGGTGTGGCATCGGGGGCTGATACATAAACTCTCCAATTATGTAATCCCTGAAAGGACTCAATTGTCAAGTGATTCCTAACAGGTAGATCTGTGGAGCTAGTTGTAACGACCAATCATCGGAAGCTTATTAGATCAATGTCGGCGTTTCACAGGGTTCTCCTCTCACTCTAACTTTCATTCTATTATATATTAATGGATCTACCCAAGAGTATACTCCCATAATTAGTGATTTACTATGCGGATGATACAACAGTTTATCGGTGCATCACCAAAGATCTGGAAAACGAGAACCTAGCAGGTCATCTCACTTAGCCCAGGTAGCCGAATGGGGGAAAGATTTACTTTGAAAATACAATACAGACAAAAGCAAACTAGTAACGTTCTTCCACCACCGAGCACCCCCAAACGTTCACCTATCATGATAGATGGATATTTTCTTAGGGAGGCTCATTGTCTTGAACATCTATTGGGACTCAGATTCTCCGCAGACCTCAAGTGGAAATAATATATTCGATCCATTGCGAAAGATGCTAAGAAAATGGTTAGTTTATTGTGCCGTCCAAGTAGGTATCTGACCCCCGCTATTATAAGAGTCAGATGAAGCCGAAAATTAAGTATTGTTGCTATATATTGACTGGAGCTGTCCAGTCCTCACGTGTCTGTCTCGATAGCGTTCAAAAGCGCCTACGCGGCCTTGTGGGTGATTAATTATTTTCTGCCCTACAAGCCACAGATGAAACGCCGCGAGCCTCTTGCTGATCTATCGCTATTTCTATACCATGTGTTCTGACGAGCTACATTATTTAGGCCCCAACACCTTGACCTTTAAAACAGTGACCAGCCATGCGACGTACACAAGAGTGAATCATCCCCAATCCCTTTCGTATTCCATGAGTAAAGAGGAAGTTCTACTCGAACAACTTCTTCCCAAGAACTACTGCTTTGTGGCACAGACTTTCGGCAGGGTGTTTTCCCAATCACTACATTCTTCACCTCTTCTAGTCTAGCGTTAACTGTTATCTTTCCTCTCTAAACCCATCAAGTAGATTTCTTGAATTGAATTGCGCTGCTATAACATCACACCGTAACATTCTAGCTTGAGTGGCACATGGGCATTTTCCTCGGTAAACATTAATATAAAAAATGGTGCAATGTGCAAGAATTTTATTTACAGAGAAGAAAATGTCTTCAATCATGCTGTCGTGTAGGCGTACAAACAATTTGTCATGTGTGGTTCGTTTATAAACTCAAGCCTTAATCACTGATGACAAGTACGACTAAAAAAATACATTCATTTCTTCCAGAATGTCACCGTCTCTGAAGTTGTATTTTTTCTCTGATTCAAAATTAGCTTCGTTGATGTGTTAGGTCAAATGAAAACAACAGAATGTCTACAACCAACAAGAAAGTTTGAAGGTGGTGGTTTAATTGCGGAGTCTGCTGTACCAATCGAAGTGCTAGGCTAATAATAAAAATGTCACTGTTATTTGTTATAAGGAAGACATTCTAAAGAAGCACATCATTTCATTCATCCAACAGCTTATTCACCCCAGTCTGTTATTTTCGAGTGACACGAAGTGGAACGATTATATTAAATCAACTGCTAGGTCTGTTGCCAGGAAAGTCGATTCACTCTGTTGTGCTAGACAATTTTCTCGCCAACATGTCTTGTACATTTATATATCTACCATCCGTGCATAGATCGAATATTGCTATCACATCTGGTCTGGTGCTTCTGCTACTCTTCCAGAAATTCTTGACAGAATCCAAATATGAATCTCCCATGTTATTGGTCTTGACCTGGCATCTCGACTTCAGTCAGTTTCCCAATGCCATAACATAGCTTCCCTTTTCCTTCTATAAATACTTTTATTGTAATTGTTCTGATGAGCTTTCATCTTTATTTTAGCCTCCCCA